GGCCATCCAGCGTGCCGGTAGACTCAGAGGTACATCACGTCTGGCAACTAGAAACATCTGTCTGTTGGTGTAGCTTTTATGTGATACAATCAAGTTGTGCAGAAGTGAGAAAGCGGCGAAAATTATGCATTGTTTGGAAGAAGTTTTTTAAATTAAAACCTGAAATATATATAGGTACGGTAAGGCTAGTTTATTTGTATAGCGCAATTCAGTATATGGAAAATTCAAGGTGCTTTATATGAAATTAGATAATAAAATATAAGGAAAATAAAAGCAGAATAAAAGCCAATAAAGATTAAAAACATGTGTAAAACTTATTAAACAATTGGACCACAAACTGGTTAATAGTTCAACTTCAACAGTCAAAGGCAGCTCTAAACAAATGGGTTTTTAACTTTGACTTTAAAGAACTCAGGCTTTCAGCACTTAGAATCTTCTGGGAGTTTGTTCTAGATAAGTCAAGCATAGGAACTAAATGCTGCATGTTAAGTTCTAGTTCTGGGGGGACAGTGTAGGCTTGAACTGGAAGACCTGAATGGTCTGGGAGGTTGATACACTGACAACAAATCGGTCCGCTCTGATGGGTTCATAGTCTTCTGGCGACATTGTGATGTAAAGCTGTGCATCGTCTGCATAGTTATGGTAACCGATGTGGTTGTTTGCTATTATCTGAGCCAAACGGAGCATGTAGATGTTGAATAGGAGGGGGGCCAGAATGGAGCCTTGAGGAACCCTGCATGTGATTTTTCTGGGGTCTGATTTAAAGTTCCCTACTGACACATAGAAGTCCCTGTACCTTAGGTTGGATTTAAACCATATCCATTGCTGTACCAGAAAGGCCTGCCCAGTTTTCCAGACACTCTAATGAAATCAAGTGATCATCAGTATCAAGCGCTGCACGGAGGTCCAATAATACCAGCAATGTGATTCTTCCAGAGTCTGAGTTTATGTTGATGTCATTGAGCACCTTAATCAGGGAAGTCTCAGTACTATGGTTGGCACGGAAACCTGACTAGAAGACATCAAAGCAGCTGGTCATTGTTAGGAATACATGTAATTGTTGAAACACAACTTTTTCAATAATGTTACTGATGAATGGCAGGTTTGAGATGGGCCTGTAGTTTTTAAGGACCAATTTATAATATCTTCTATATAAACATCTCCACCAACAGCCTCCAGCTTAATACTTAATAGTACTATGCTTTGGACTCAGTGGAGGAAGTGGCTGAGAGGAGGGTGTTGTCCAACCTTACATCCATCATGGATGATATTCAAACAAAAGTTCTGAGTTTTTCCCAATTCATTTGGTATTCTTTAGATCCTAGCTCTGCTTTAACCTTTCTCACTCCCCCCAATCAGTTTGCTACATTCCCTGGTCTACATAGTGCAGATTATTTTCTGATGTTTTCAAAAAAACCTTTGAGAACTTAGAACTGTTGGATTGGTACTGAAGGCAAGGGACCTTAAAGGAATAGTACACCCAAAACATGATTAGCCTTCATTTTCTACTCACCCCCATGCTGAACAACACTGTGGAGTACTTTTTTGATATCTCAAATGCATCTGGAGATCTGGGAGGCTTCTTGCTGTCTGCTGACATTCAAATAATGGAGGTCTGTGGCGCCCGAGGCAGAAAGGTCCATAAAAGTCCACAAAAAACGTGTCAATATTCCTCCATACTGCTCATCCAATGTATTGCAAGTGTCCTGAGTGGGTAGCATCCAGATTTTACTCGAAAAGAAGTCATTTAGAATGTTTTTAGAGCATAAACAGTAGTGTATAGGATTTCCTGAAAGCGCGCACATGCGCGTTCACGACGCTACGGAAGCCGGCAGACCAAACCAGATGAAAGTGCGCATTCAGCGTCTGCTCTGCCAATAATGCAAGCGTAGAAGAAGAAATGTGCCGTTTACCTGTGCAAAGAAAGAAACAACGAAAGAAAAATAACTGAGGACTTCAGTGTTGAGGAAGAGCATGAGTTCTTTGCCGAGCTGAATGCGCTGGTCTGGTCTGCCGGCTTCCGTAGCGTCGGGATCGCGCATGTGCGCGCTTTCAGGAAATCCTATACACTACTGTTTATGCTCTAAAAACATTCTAAATGACTTCTTTTCGAGTAAATTCTGGATGCTACCCACTCAGGACACTTGGAATACATTGGACGAGCAGTATGGAGGAATATTGACACGTTTTTTGTGGACTTTTATGGACCTTTCTGCCTCGGGCGCCATAGACCTCCATTATTTGAATGTCAGCAGACAGCAAGAAGCCTCCCAGATCTCCAGATGCATTTGAGATATCAAAAAAGTACTCCAGAGTGTTGTTCAGCATGGGGGTGAGTAGAAAATGAAGGCTAATCATGTTTTGGGTGTACTATTCCTTTAATATAAATGCAGGCCTAATTAAATGTAAGTATTTTAACAAAAGAAACATAGTAATAAATGAAAAAGTACTATCAATAATAATATTGTTACTGTTAATAATTCTTAGCAATAATTTAATAAAGATGTTAATGAAAAAATAAGAATTTAACAAAACATTTTGGAAAAAATAAATTAAAAAATTATTTAACTAAATTATTACAACACATTATTTGAATAAAATAATTTGAACATTTAAAATGTTTTATCATTTTGTCTTTTCACAGTTTGGAGTAATTTGTAGTGTTTTGTAACATAAGATCTTAATCAAATGTATTTAGGTTTGTGGTTTAAAGATGTTAAAACATTGGAAGAGATTTAAAGCACTTTTCCAAGGTAGTAACTATCCAAACAACAGAAACCAATTTCCCCTCTAAGCTGTGCGCTTCAGCAACTGGGCACCGCTTTCAGTGGACAAGAAAATCTATGCAGAGCATAAAATAAAATCTCACATAAACTGTGCATTATTTATACTACCAATATTTGTTCTGTATCATTTTGAATCTGTGTATGATTGGGGGGGCTATGTCTAGACACATGAAAAATTAGAACATCAATGTTAGCAGTGTACTGATCACCTCAACATGTCACGTTATCTAATATGTTATTGTTTACAATTGGGAAACTTTTATCATAACTATGATTAGAAGTTAAGATTTGGGGTTATTTTTATCTTTCACAGTTTTCTTTATTCGAAATTTGCTTGGCTGTTTCTCTGCAGTGGGAAAACCCAAGAACCAGGTGATTGCCGCCTGCCGGGATGCCATCAAGAGCAATAACGTCAATGGTCTCTTCAGGATCATGAGGGCTGGTGCAGCTTCTTCTTGAGGCCGATGGGAGGACATTATGCAGGAAGTCACCAGTAAAACTGACTGATGCGTGCTGTAAAGAAAAAAGTGGCACACATGAAAAATGTGTATAACATTGTAGAAGTCTGGAAAAAAAACTGTCTCAGCCTTAAATTTAATGAAGCGAAAACCTGGAAGCAAAGCTGGAGACCACCTTCATGAAATGTGAACCTTCAGAGAGGAGAAATGAGAAGAGACAGAGCTTTAGTTCAGTTATGTTGCTGGTTAGACGGGCTTGATTTAGTGCAGCACAGTTTACCACAATCTAAGCTCCCTCAGTTCAGTCTGCCTGCATCTTTAGTTTGGGGTTTGACGCTGAATAATGTAGGTTAGTGTCTTTTTTTTTGTTGCAGCCTATGTTGTGCATGCGTCTAAAAATGTTTAAAATTCAGGAAAAACCACTGAAACATTTTGACCAAATGACTGTGCTGGAGCTGCTTCCTGGTTAAGTGCAGCTAAAACGGTGAGGTTTGGAGGGAGGACAGCCAAGGAGGGACACGAGAGGACAGACAAGGCTTGACACGAGACGACAGACAAGGCGGGACACGAGAGGACAGACAAGGCTTGACACGAGAGGACAGACATGGCGGGACACAGAGCAGCTTCAGAGTCCCTGTTGGTTCTAAGGGTTCAGCTCTCAGTTTTGTTTTTAGCCAAAGACAAATCTGTTCAATTTCTGTTTTAAAAAGCACTTGTGGTTGTGTGTGTTTATTTTGTTTACCTTTTATAGATTGTGATTTTGTGATTGTTACAGCATTTGTTTAATATATAATAAAGATTTAAATTGTTTTCATCATCTGGTAGGGTCATCAGAAAAATGAATTGGCTTTTTTATGTTGTTTTTGTATGTTTTTAGTTTCTTGTTCTGATCAACAGTTCCTCTGAGCTTTGAAGTTTTTTTCAGGCTTTTTGACAAATTCTATGTCAAATATCAGAATATTTTCAAATAAAATGATTTCAGTTGTTACGTCATTGAACTCTTTTAAAATCACACTGGCTTAATGATGTAGTTGATAGGGCTGGGTTTGGATGGTATGGGATGTTCTGCAATCTAAGATGTCTGAAGAAACAAATGAATCTTTCAGAAAGTTTGGAGAACCCTTGATAAAAGTGTTTTTGACAGACTGAAAGGACTTTTGACTGCTTATAAACCAGATATTAAAATGAAGACCATTTATGAAACATGTGCCAACTCTCCAGTCTCATCCCCTCTTCTTCCTTTTCAGGAAGAGGTGTTTAGTCTGTTTGTAGCACCAAAGCAGATATTGCTTGTTTTTTCCCCCCTGCTTTTTACTTTTTTTTTTTTTTGCGTTGGCATCTGGATTTGTTCAATTCAAACCAGATGGAAAAAGAGACGACGATGCCTTCAAGAACCTACTATTGGCTTGGTTTTCTGTTAGCTCACATTTTACATACTTTACTTCATACTTTATAGAACGTTTACATTTGTAACATAAACAGTTGTTCTTAATTATGTCTACAAACATGCGCTATAAATGTTAAGTTAAAAAAAAGTTTCTGATAGTCATACTTTCCTGGAATCGTAATCTATCGAAAATTTATGTTTACGTTGCTTTTAGAGGAGTAATAAAAAAAAAAAGCTATGTGTGGCAGGATTTCCTTCCAGCTTATTTTTTTGTTTTGTTTTTTGAACCTCTTTGCTTTGTGTCGCACATTTCTTAAATCGATATATTCCACCATGCAAGGGTCATCGTCATGTAGTTTTCTCTGACGTACGTGAATGTCTCTCAGCTCAGAGACAGAGATGTCCAGGTTCGGTTCTGATAGAGCAGTCTGCCCTGCTGCTACTGAAGCTCTCCGACTGTTTGGACCTTCAATGTTTTCTTCCAGATGTGGAACAGAAGGAAAGGAGCTGCAGATGTTTTCCTCCTCCAGTAAGTGGGAATGATGTTTTGCGTCAGTCGGGGATCTTAGTGTAAACATGGGCCTGCTTTATTCCAGTTGAGTAGCTAAACTAATTTCGCTTTTGTGTTTTAGAGAAAAGTAAGTGTTTTTTTTTTTTTTATGAATAGACACTTATATAATATTGCTCTTATCACACATTATCTAAACACAAAAGTTAATGCTATTTCTTTCTTTTTTCTCCGCGATTTCAACACCAGTTGAAGAAGAGTCCCTTCTTCCTTTGAAACTATTCACGTTTATTTGCAAATGGTTAATTATGTGATTCACCAGAGATACAAATAAATCTTCATGACAAAAAAGGTGAACTTACGGAAGAGGATTGGGGCCACTGAACAAAAACTAAAAAAAAGTTTACTGATTTTTTAATTTTATTCCAGTATAATATGAGAAAAAATTCTGACTTTTTTCTCAGAATTCTGACTTTGATCTCAGAATCCGGACTTTTTTCTCAGAATTCTGACTTTTTTTCTGTCATTAATGGAGGAACAGAAGGTAATTAAAACAAGAGAGCTAGTCTCTAAAACAGACATGGCAACAGCTTTATGCTAACATGTTTTTTTTAGCTGTCAGAATTCAGTCAGATTTCTGAGAAACTCCACTACTCCTGATTTCAAGGCAGCTCTTTCTGTTTTGTTTCCTGTTTTTAATTGCAGAATGAGCTGATCAATCCAGGTGTGTGTTGCCTAGGTTACTGACACCAGGCACATATGGATTCATCAGTTCATCCAGTAGAAAGAGACAGGAAACAAAAGAGCTGCCTGTTCAGGAAGTAGTAGAGATGTGCATAGAGCCCATTATGAGTGCCAGTGCAGTGATACAAGAACTGGTGTGATACGACACATTTATTCGCTCAAGGTTAATCAGTCTAGCAACAGCATTTTAGCTCAATGTAGCGCTCTGATATATACATTTTAGGAGAAAAGTTAAGATACTACTAGTACACCTATATAAGTATAAACCTGTTTCTCAATAATTTTCCCTTTTGGGGTAAATAACATATTTTTTAATTTAATTTAATTCAAATTTACTCTCCTTTTTTCATATTCTTTGAATTTGGCAACATCTTTTAGAAAGGCTTTAGGAAATAGTCTTTATATCAGTGTTAAAACTATATATGAGTCAACTATGCCGATGGAATAAAAATAGAAGTTAGGGAAGGGTGTGACAGTTAAACATTTTCGTAAAAGACAAAATTGACAAAAATCAGCGCATTTCCACAGTTAATGATTTTAAGATTATATGTTAACTTTTAATGAGCAGCATCACATGCAGGGGGGGATTAACCATTAGGCAAAACTAGGCGGCTGCCTAGGGCCCAAGTTCCTGGGGGCCCCAAGTTAAAACTCTGTTTACATGTATGATTAATACACCTATTCCTTATTTGTGCACATTATGTTTTTCATAAAAATTATTTCGCTAAAATGCCATCAGAACCATGGCCATTCAGTGTCCACTATATTGGATCAGTCCATTTGCTGCACATGTTCAGAAAGGTCCAAACAGACAGCAGCAAACCATTTGAAAACAAACGATGCAAAGAGCAGTTTTGCCAACTTAGCGCCTTAGTCACTATATTTAGGAACTTTTTTAGTGCTTTGATTTTAAAAAAAGCACCTAGCATGAAATCTAGTGACTTTTTTCTGCTACTGGAGAATTTGGTGACAACATCTAGAAGCAGTGAACTCTGCTCTCCAGAGCAAGTAGATAGGTAACCCCGTCTCCTGCTCTCCTCTATGTTGTCTGCTGTCATGATTCATGCAGCTATTATTTCATCCAAACGAAAATGGAGAACAGATAAGCAGATCATAGCTTGTCTACAGTGAAAAGAAGGACTGGGTTATTTACTTTTGCCTTTTGGGAAACACAGGAAGGAACAATCAGCTAAGTGAGCTTAGTGCTTGGAAAAAATCTTTCATTCCTTTTGAGACAGCATAAAAAGTCAGCTGAGTACAAAACAGAGAGAGGAAAACAACAAGAAAAGGGACAAGGAGAGAGGGACAAAACCTAGAACAAATAATGGATGTCTATTCTATTAACATTTCTCTATCTGTATAATCGGTCTGCTTTATGTGTTGTCTTCTCAGTTCAGAGGGCCCCCTGCCTGTCTTTGCCTAGGGCCCCAAATTTCCTAAATCCGCCTCTGATCACATGATCTTCATCCATCCATCCATTTCCGTCATGCTTATCCCAAGCGGGGTCGCTAGGGGTGCTGGTGCCTATCTCCAGCTGTCTACGGGCAAGAGGCAGGGTCCACCCTGGACAAGTCGCCAGTCCATCGCAGGCATCACATGATCTTACCAATTGGTTTTCTTTTGCATAAACACTTAAGTTCTTTTGGCACATAAAATGTGTCATTTCTAATCAATCTTATATTTTGAGAGCAGTTGACTGTGTGTCATCTTAAGGAGGGATTGAAGAAAATATAGAGAAAAGGAAAATATGCATAATTAGAGTTTCTCATTTACTGTTCAGATTGGATTTAGTATCCTATGGGTGCTGTTTTATAGTTAGGATGCTCTATTACGTTACATTAAGTAAAAAAAAACTGGAACAAATAAAAAAAACTGAAAAAAAAAGCTGAATGTTGAAAAAATTCAGTCTCTGCATCAAAATGACCATATCAATGTATTTTTTTTCCCCATGTTTTTTCCCCCCAATGTTTACATTTGATCATTGATGCTCTTTAAGGAATGGAAATGTCACGAGAGCTGTACGAAACGAAATAAAGTTTGTCTAAGTCTATTACAAGTTGGCTGAGAACGGAGAGAGAGACATAATGGACATTACAAACTGACATAGGTGAGTCTGTTCTAACTTCTGCTTTGCTGAAACAGCTCCTAAGTGATGTAACGATGCAGAGAGGAAATGGGCGCATATCTAAGAGGTAAAACCAAATTGTGTTTTTTATTTATTTATTTATTTTTTAAGAGTCTTAAATCTTTTCTGTCAAACCAAATGTATTGCTGTTGTGCTTCAGGTTCTAGCTCAAAATGCAATACAGCTGAGAGGATGCTGAGGAAAGTGCTGATGATGAGGAGGGTCCTACATGTGAAGGGAGATGTGATGTGCACTCTGCTGCTACTGGTGCTGCTCTGTTTTCTGCTCTACACTCGTCAGGTGAAGAGGGAAAGAAAGTTCACAATAACTGGAGGCAGAAACATTCCTTTATGTCCCATTTAATCCAAGCAATGATTCTAGGTTGTTCTGTCCTCTGGAGGGAGCAGACCCGTCTGGAAGCTGGAGATCCACGACTCAACTAGCTCCAGTCGGATCCTGTTGGGATCCAGTGGGGCCAAGTTGAGAAATGAGTTACATGAGGTAAAAAAAACGGACCAATCTAGTCCCATCTGTTGCAATCTGCAGTGGCTAATTCTCATATGTATGGTTAATCCATCCATCTGCTGATCTGTCCATGAAAGCTTTTAGATGACAACTTTTATTAAATGAGTTATTGTATAGTTACTGCCTATGTGTCATGTTACTTAAGAAACTGAAAAAAAAAAGTTTTTGTAGTTTTACTGCATTATACTTTTAGATTCTACTTGATCAATAGATTTTTAAGTAATGCTACTCTTGGCTATTTTACATATCTATGTGCAGGGTAGGGCCTCCCCCCCTAATGTGACATCCATCCCTCTGTCGGAAAATCCCTTAAAGACAATCACAAACATACATTTTCTTCCAGCACTCACATTTTTTTTTTACTACTTTCTTTTGTTTGATATAATCCCAACTACAGTCCCTGCTACCTTCTTGTATCCCCCAATTGAACTCCAACCTCCCTCAGTCTAGATCCAGTTCTGAGATCAGGTCCAGATCACGAAGGAAAAAGGTCCCGCCTACCAGGGCTGCTGACAAACTGCCGACTCTACCACCGTTTGACTTCAAGAGCTATCTTAGAGAAAAAGACAGGAGAAACTTTAAACTGCTTATCGACCAGCCGAAGAAATGTCGGATAAGAGAAGAAGAGGAAGGAGGAAGAGGTTCTGCTCCCTATATGCTCATCGCAGTGAAATCTATAGCTGCAGATTTTGACAAGCGGCAGGTAGCAAAATACGTTTTTTTATTGGTTACTATAAAAAGTTAGTTTTACACCTTTCGATTTTTTCTTGGCTCATTTATAATTTTTTTTTAGGTAGTGCGACAGACATGGGGGAAGGAAGGCATGTTCCAACCTGGCAGGTCCGTACGCACCGTGTTTCTGCTTGGGATTCCCAGGAACCGCTCCTCCCTGCCTTGGTGGGATCGTCTACTGGCCTACGAGAGCCAAGCCTATCAGGACATCCTGCTCTGGGATTTTGAAGACACTTTCTTTAACCTGACTTTGAAAGAAACACATTTTCTAGAATGGGTCAACAGCAGCTGTCCTCAAGTGAAGTTAGTGTGGATTAAATGGTCTTGAATGATGATTTCAGCTTGAAGCCTTAATTAAGTCAGTCTGCTCTCCTTCAGGTTCATCTTTAAAGGTGACGCTGACGTATACGTCAACGTGGAAAACATCCTGGAGATGCTTCAAGGCAGAGAACCTGATGAGGATTTGTTTGTCGGAGATATAATTGTTAATGCTAAACCAATCCGCCGTCGCACTTCCAAGTATTATGTTCCAGAGTTTATGTACGGAGGCCTTATGTACCCCAGTTATGCTGGAGGCGGAGGGTTTGTGATGTCTGGACACACGGCGCGAAGATTAAACTCTGCCTGTCAGCAGGTATTCAGAAAAATCAAAGCATGAACCATTACAGTAAACAGTAAAAGTGCAGTTTAAAAAAACCCTAACGGTATCTTATTGTTTGTACGTTTTAAAGACCTTCTAATGAGATGACAGAGAAATTAGCAGAAGAATCAGATTATTACCAGCTCTATGACACACAGACTTGTGCAGCTCCCACACCTGTTGCTATATTTTTGGTCAGCTGGCTGGTAAAAGGCTCCTGCCCTTTTGCAGCAGGACAAACTTAGCTTTAAGGGGTTAGTTTCGGTCAATTTGTGGAAACTATACAAGCCCTACATTTGGGTTGAATTAAAAGAGCAATGAGCCAATTTTGCACCACTAGTTGTGCTGTTGAGCACAGTTTTTAGACCAAAACAGCATTACATTTTAAAACAAAGTTCTATCAAAACAAAAATATGATACATAAGGTAATTGATTAAATAACATTGTTCAATTTATGCCTGTTTTGTTTACTCCTATAGTCCCATTTTACAATATATCATCTCAAGGCACTTTACATTTGGTTACTGAATTTGCAGCAATCGCTCGCACTAAGCACATAGCGGGGAAAATTTTTAACAGGTAGAAATGTCCATCAAAGTTCCTAAGTGGGAACTATGTTCTGCTGAGAGGCACACAAGGAATATAGAAGCAATGATCCATGAATGTTTCATCTTGTAACACCAATCAAAAAATAACACCACCAAAAATTTCAACAAAATTGCCTGGAAAACAAAGAATTTGGTTCATGGCTGCAGCCTGTCAACGCTAAAGATGACAAGGGATTTTGCCATCTTATATATAAGAGCATTAAAAAGCATAAAATTAGAGTTACTCAGTCCTGTATAAACTCATTAAACTGGTTCATTTTTGATGCAAACCACTATTTGCAACAATTGCATTTCGCAAAGTAGCTCAACTCTGAATCAAAAGCTACAGATTTTGTGTTAAATGTACATTTAGACCTCGAGCAGATCATTTTTATGCTTTATTCGATCTAAACCATTCCATTTCATGTTAAGGTCTTTGTCCTGCTGGAAGGTGGACCTCTGTCCCCACACTTACTAGTTCTTCTGCAGCTTTAAACAGGTCCTCCTTCCTGAATTAGCTTCATTCCCAATCAGATTTCCATTTGTTGTTAGGTCTGCAGTTGGTCTATTTTCTCACACTGCTCTGTGAGATGCTCAAAGTGGGCTGGTGATATTGTTTTAGCAGCTAATGCTGCTTTAAACCTCCACACGTTTCCCACTGACATCTCTGCTGGGTTGCTAGGTCTTCATAATCTAAAAAAAAAAAACAGAAAAACATGAAAATAGGTGTTTTTAGACTACTAAAAAGGATGCATGAGAAAACTATTGTTAATGAGTGTGGTGGTTGTGTTAATACCTTGAAAACTGTATGGGACTTAAAAGCTTTGTCATACTGTGAGATTTAATTTCCCCCCATATGTTTTGATAAAGTAAGTTTCCTACTCTTCAAGAATCTGTTTAAGAATTTAAGTTTTTATATAAAACTTCTCTTAGGTGGAACTTTTCCCAATCGATGATGTCTTCCTGGGAATGTGCCTCCAGCTGATTAGCATCAGCCCTCTTCGTCATCAGGGATTTCGCACCTTCGGGATTCCCCGGCCGTCTGCGGCGCCCCACCTTCAAACGTTCGACCCCTGTTTTTACAGAGAGCTCATGGTCGTTCACAGCCTCAGTGTCCCACAGATCTGGCTGATGTGGAACCTCCTGCACGACCCCGACCTGAGCTGCCACAACAGAACTGGACTGACATCTGGACCCTTTAAATGGAGAGGGAGAATCAGAGAGATGACAGGAGATGAGGCGGATTACGGTGAGAAGCCGGAGTTTATCACGCACTAGAGCCTGTCAGGAAGCAGAGGTGGAGCCGCAGGTATCACGCAGCATTTCAGGACTGAATAACAATCCTGTGAGAATTTTTTCAGCCAAGATGATACATCATCCGGCAGGAAATTAAATGGACTGGGGGAATTTTTCCCAGCTGACTTTATACAGAAACTGAAGGCATTCGGACAATAACCTTGGGGACCAAATATTTTGCACTGCATTTATCTACGAAGAAATAGGAGTTTATTTTGCATATAAGTTTACAAAATCCTTTTTTTTTTTTGCATTAAATTTGTAAAGCTGCTGTCACATCTATTGTTCTAGGTATGGGGGTGTAATCTAAAAATGCATTATACTATTGATGGACATTTGATAATGCATTGCATCCTCTGATGCATGTGAACAAGTGTTTTGCTCATGATTTGCAGGCTGCGTCTAATTTTTTTCCTGCATCATCATTGCCATTTTTCCTTATGCATGAACAAAGGCCTTCAGTGTCCACAGTGGGTCAAGTTAAAGATCACCAAGGACAGCAAAAAAACAAGCTACTGCTCTTAAATCCATACCTTTAAGCTGGACTAAAAACTGCAACTATCCACATGCAAAAAACAAATACTCAATTTGAAATGGTCGAGCAACACTACATTAGCAGCATCAGAATGCAGATCGGAGTAGGAAGAATAAAAATGGGTGACCACCACTAAATCTGACACAATTGGAATAACTAATAAAATCCAAACTGATTATTGAATGGAGAAAACACATCAACATTAAACTGCTGAAATATTCATCTGTAAAAATAATAAAGTTTTATCAGTGCAACAACTAGAGATTCAATGCAGTCTTAAAAAACACAAACTGATTCACAGTCAAACCATTTCACAGTCACATTTTATTTTTCTGTTTTCATATTCTTGTACAACACAGAAAATAAACTCTGTTGTCAGCAAATATTGAGCATCTGATTTCATAAAGGTCCATTATCTTTGTTGAAAATTCAACAACTATCAATGGAGTTCTGCTGCAGCGAAGCTTCAGTCTCATGCATCTCTTTGCACTACATGTTTTTATTGCCATCTCAGTCATGGGACATGCTGGATGAATCTGCTTGTTATTTCATTCACAAAGTTATTCAAAATATGCATATCAAACAAGCTACATTCCTAAGAATTTCGCATCAGCCGTAATTACCCGCTCTGCTTCCAGAAAATTAAAATATAAAAGGATAACAATTATCAATGGGGTAGGGACATTGGAGTAGAAACAACAAATATGTTAATACAAACTAAGGGAGAACATAATCCAAGCAGGTTTGGGGGAGATTAACCATTTACGGTAATCTCAATATCCTCTGTGTCTCAGATTCCATGCTGTAGAAAGCAGCCTCATTTTTTTTTTTTTTTTGAAGGCTCAAGGTGTCATAATTTGTGTTGGGATTTTTTATGTTTATACAAGGTAGGAAAGTTTGAGGTTACAGGTAAGAGTGTTCAAAAGGATTCATGAGGTGTTGACCAGAAAAGGAGCAGGGCTGATTTCCCATTGGGAATATACCAAATTAATCAGTAGCTGTATGTGAGTGAACACTCTTACCATTTCCAAAGATAAGCAGGTAACATTTGTGGGGAAAAAATGAGGGAAGATGAAGGAAGATTTCCCCCAAAAGTAGCTTCTTCCTGAAGAAAACATAGTTTATGAAACCTAATTTTAGCTTAAAGAGAAGGAAAACCCCAAGGCTGAGGAACAAGCAGGGAAAATGATGATGGAATGATGAGAGATTACTGCTGCAAACCTTGCAGATAGCCTTCCAAGCCCACTGTGAAAGTTGTTCTAATGAATGTCCTCTCGTGGCAACTTAGTTTTGACCCTGTTGGTGAAATAACCTGCTGATAATTGGACTAATATGTCTGAGCAAAATGAATGACAGAGTGCATAACAGTATTTTTTAACTTTGTTCATTTTAGCATATTAGTACTGGCTAAATGTGACCCTTTCAAGGGGAAACATCAACATTGCTCTCACATGTTAAATACAGATTTTTTTTCATTGTGACTATTCTGTTCTATACAGCAACTGCAGTTTGTATGATGGTACAGCTGCTTGGAGAAATACGACTTCTGGTTGCATTTAAACAGTAATGCTAATTAGAAATGAGTTAGAAAATGTGTCCATCTAAATACCTCAAGATTAGTTTTTATTCCAGGGGCCGTTGTTTTACGCACTGATGCCCAAGTCATTATCTAACTGCTACACAGTAAATCTCACTGATTCAGCATGAAGATTTTAAAGCGTTGGCTCAGTCTTTTCCATTTCAGTTAAAAGCTGTTTGCTTCTACAGACCATTAACATCTGCTGCCTGAACAACAACAACAAAAAAATCCCCAACACAAATAGCGAACCTAGTGGCTAAAGTAGGGTATTACATAAATTGTCTCCTACAAAAGCTTCCCCAAAGAAACAAACATCTGAAGCGGTGGGCTCCTACATCTATCTTTTTTTAATCTGTTTTACACTTTCTTTATGCCGCCAAACTGTAATGAATAAATAACCATAAAACACTGAAGTCAATGAAAGTCTTCATTATGAATTTACGGAAAAAAAAACTTTAGAAATTAAGTTTAATGTAATAAAACATTAAACTTAATGTTTTGCCTTCTTCCTTTGCTTTATAAAAGGAAGAAAGCAAAACAGCCTAATTTTAATCCTTCTTAAAAAGATCTCGCACAGGTCTATTACATCAGGTGCATGACTAGAATATGACCCAGCATTTTTTAAAGGTGGTTTATACTGTTTTAACATGTGATATTTCCATAAATGCACTAGGAAGGAAAGAACTTGGTAGGATTTGGCCACAGAACCACCAGAAATTCTACCGGATAACAGGGAGTGTTTGAGAAAAATGGGAGAGCATTTAAGCTAAAGCAGAACTCAACCATGCAACCCTAATGGTCCAAACCAAAGGTCCTCAACCCTGATTCAATCATTCCTTTAAATATGTCAGGTGTTTGGCAGCAAGGAGATGCATAAACCACACAGCGCAGTGGTACTTCAGAACCAAAGAATGAGAGTAAAACTAGCAGTATCCAACTGAGAGTGAAAGAGCAGATTTTTTTGATAGAAGAAGGTTCCTCAGACCGCTGAGATGGTAGACAGATACACAAAGTACTGAACTACAATTTAAGCTAAATGGGAAAACAAGATATTAGTGGGTGGGGTGTTTTTCCTCAGCTAGAAAAGGTGTTTTAATAAATAAAACAAGGTTATATTTTGGTGGTTTTGCAATTAAAATGAATCATGAATGTTAATTAATTAATAACCAAATATTTGATTCTTCTAAATATTTGATTTTTGCTGCAAATTCTCTAGGAATAAAATAAAAAAGAACAGAACCTGAAATTATGACATGGAGGCTGCCTTTCTGTCCGTTTTAGAATCTGCATTTTTTTCTTTTATTATTGTTTTTTTTAATCAAACTAAAATTTACCCCTAGGTTTCAACAAACGATTATAAATGCATATGCTAAATAAAAACAAAGAAAATAAACCCATTAAAAAAAGATCAACAAGCTAGGACTATTTGCAGATAGGAGAAAACCAACAAAACAAAACAGACATCAGGTGCTGCAGCAGGTTTGTAATGCTCAATAAAAAGACACACAAAACAATGCAATTAAAAAGCATTCCCCCACTGTATGTACCACAGATAACTATTTTACAGAGGCAAAAAGTCACCCAATTTAAAGACGGGCTCAGTGGGAGGTGAGGCACAATGTTTGTTTGTTTTTTCTTTGACTTAAAATACATTTTCTTCCACTGAAGCAAGTAGTGGGAACAATACGCAGAACATTGTTGACAGCTTCGAACAGTAGGCGAAAAATCAGAGCAACCTTAAATTCTGGGAAGCTTAGGAACCCCAGGAGATATGTTAGAAACATTTAGCTTTTCAGAACAAAAAGAGTTTATCAAGGCTGATGAAAACAGAGAACCTGAACTTCCGAGCTCATCCCTTCATCCAGATGAAGGCTGAGCCACAGGGGGAAAGAATCTAACTGTCCAGCAGAGCATTGAAGTGTAAATTAAGAGTTTATGTGCTTCTTAAAAACGTCCCTCTATTGTCCACAAAGATCAATGCTGACTGGTTTGGATTTTCTGAAATCACCCCGGAATAAGTACAGAATCAACATAAACTCTGTTTTTGAACTTTCTTCACAATATAGAGGCAAAGAATCCAAGCCATAATAAAGAGGATACCATGAAGAGCTATTTACAGCATTTATACATCAGTATCAGCTTCCCCCGGAAAAAAAAAAAATAAAAAATAAACAAAATGACTAAACCTGATGTTCTCTGTACTTAAAACACTTTCCTGCTACTTGAAACAAAACCTATCGGTTCATTCAGTGCTGATGAGAAGCATGCATCCCTTAGAGGTCTTAGATCATAGAAGTATTGAATGGAAAACAAAAAAACATTTAATTAGTTTGTTCAGTGTCATTTTAAAAACACCACTTGATCTTTTTTTCCTAATGTTGTCACAGTAAAACCACAACATTCTAGCATTTTAGACTGGATTTGACGGGAGAAAAACGTAAGGATAACTGAAAAGTGGAAAACGGAAGGTGTATTTTTAAAAGTTAATTTTCAATAAAAAACAAAAACAAATTTGCATACAGCCCCAACAAAAAAAGCCCAGAGTAATCAAAAATACATTTGAAGGTTACAAAATGAACAAGTAACATCTTCTAACAAGAAACCAGGTAGAGACTGAAAAAGACATGGAGATATTACTCTGGGGGAGCTGCAGAGAGCTACAGCTCAGGTAGAAGAATCTGCACTGGAAATATCTGCTAACCGTGGAAGAGTTAAAAGCTCGTTGAAGAAATTAAGTCTGTAAGAATGTGCTACCTGCAAAAAGAAAATGTAGAAGTACGTGTAGAAGAATGTTAGGTCTACAGTTGTAACAAAATGTAAAAAGTCTAAGGGGTTGTGGATTCTTTAAAGGCAGTTTTGACCCAAACATTTAGCAAAACTGCAAAAACAAAAACTTTTGTTATCAAGAACAATGACAGTTTGTCTATTAAAATAAATGCAGTTTATTAGTTGGTTTGTAATTAAAAACAATGTAAATGTACACGATGGGGAGGGAGTTGACAAAGATATGACTGATGCTTTCCTACATTCCCAAGAAAAAAACAAAGCGGGGTGTACGACCACAGACAGAACGGCTGCTCACTAAGTCACAGTTCATTGAGGACGTTCACCACAGTATGAGCTGACATTAAATATGACGGTCTCATCAGAAACAGATTAGCAGAACGGCGGCTGCTCGTGTTCAACAATCACTGTCAGCACCGACAGGGACGTGAACCTAAAAGCTATACCACAACATCTTCAAAAAGGATGGAATTAGTCATATTTGAGACTGCAGGCAATCTTAAACGAGAAAATATACAGAGCAAATGAAAACATCCTAAAAGGTCTTTGGCTTTAGCATTTGGCAACTAACAAAAGAGATAAATGCAGAGAGAACAGATGGATAAAATGAAACTCAATAAGATGCGAGAAAGAGGAAAGAAAGCACTGAAGAAAACGTAACAAACCATGACTCCTCTGCTGCAGAGCATGGAGGTAACACACAGTCATCCACTCACTCAACATCATCCCTCTCTTCAATACATATCCATCTCAAAGGATGGGGCACGATCAAGTAAAAACCTGTGTATTAGTGCAAAATGTAAAAAAAAAAAAAAAAGAATCACAATAAATTATTACACAATGAAAACGGTTTTCATGGTGATGAAAAATCGGACTATTTCGCCCAGAGAGAACATGCAGGTAGATTTTTTTGAAATCGGCCAAACAAAGCAAGAGCACTTCTTGTTGTGCTTTTTGTAGGTTGCTTCTCGGTAAGTCAAGCAGGTCCTGGGGCATCGTGTTTAAAATACTAGACCAGCCGTTGTTTTATCAGAGACATGAGCGTAATGGATGAAATGATGTGAATTCTGGAATGAAAGTCTGTTGAAATATAAAAAAACGACCTTGCGGAGACAAATATTTGGAGACGAATTGTTGTGATTGACAATGGGGAAATCTCCAAAGGGCTGAAGGACGTGTTTTGTGAGCATTTCTGGTCACAACAGAGAAGTGAAGGTGGACAAAAATGGAAATGATAATTGGTGTCTGGATGGTTCTGCTTGAAGAAGAGACTTTCTCAGGCTTGGCTGGGTGTGTTCGAACCTCCTCAATAATGACAGAAAGGGATGCTTAGCTTAAAGTGTGTTTGGGCTCACGGTGCAGGATTGGACGGGTTAGGCTGGGCCCAGTTTGAAGCAGTCTTGAAGTAGGAAGACGAGCAGGACCGACCAGGATGGCAGTGTGGTTGGCTGACGTAGTTCTGTTGGTTGTATTATGTTTGCTTGCAGCAGATTTCGATGAATCACCTCACGATGGGATGACATTCTTCATATCTTACAGCAGAGAAGTCTCTGTGGTTCTGGGCTCATGGGATGAGTGAGAATTAACTGAGCTTAATTAGGGTAAAGATTTTACAGTTTTCTTTTCAAAGATTGCTAGAAGGTCCAACAGCAGGACCGTAGCTCAGCCGGGCCATAAGGAAGGAATCCTGGTACCAAACAAGAGGCAGCAGGTCTCGTTCCCCTGTTTATCCATCCACTTTGAAGCACCTGAGCTCGGTTATAGTGATTCTGTCAGACCTGCTCAGGTAGAAATCTGGTTTTGGTTCCGATTCCTTCAGCAAATTCAGTTTGGGTCGGCCAAAATGAGATGTGGTTCTGGTTACTTGTTCAATGGGAACTAGCGCTGGACTCGGGTCGGGCTTGACTAGTGGTCCGTGGAGCTCCATAGAGGGTCACTGATGCTATGTGGTTATTCTGCATCACCTGCAGAGGAAAACAAGACAACATTAGAGAGACTTTATGTTGGTTCAGAACTAGAAGCTTTATTTTAGTTGTTGATGTTTTAAATAGAATCAGTTTCTCATGAGAAAACTTTTAACTATTAACATAACATGTGAATATTCTAGTTTTTGTACAACTTATTTTTACAGGTTAGGTAATAATGTTTTTCCTTAGGCCATTACTGAAGTTAGAATATAAATTTCTATGTCAGTATTTGAAACTTTTCCAGAATCAAATCGACTAAATTCTTGATCCACTTGAATATGAAAACATCCAAAAATAGACAGAGAGAAACAAATAAATGGCCAGAGACACATGGGTGGACAGACTGGACAAAAAAATAGACACATGGGGCGACAGTGGCGTCCGTTGCAGCAATTTGCCCTGGTTCCCGGGTTTTAAATGTTGTTGTGTCCTTGGGCAAGACACTTTACCTGCATTGGCTACTACTGGTGGTCGGAGGGCCCGGTGACGCCTGTGTACCGCAGCCTCACTTCTGTCAGTGAGCCCCAGGGCAGCTGTGGCTACAGTGTAGTCTACCATCATCAGTGTGTGAGTGTGTGCGTGAATGACTGATTATAGTGTAAAGTGCTTTGGTAAAGTCTCCCTTCTTGAAAAAGTGCTATATACAGGCCATTTACACACCTGGTTGAAATAACTAAACCACTTTTAGCAATATTTAATCAATAATTTAAACCATAATTTTACTTGCATTGCTGCTCATGTCCCCTACATTCTTTTTCGGTTTTGACCATTCAGTAAAGGGTGTGCAGTGCCACCTGCTGACAGCACAGCCTAGTTAATGCACAGGCTATGGAATGCAAGATAGTTTGGTGTTCCAACAATGATCGATCGTATTAGACAGACGGGTCACTGGATCCTAGTTTGGTTTTAAAAACTCGCAAACACTTATCTCTGCTGTGACAGACAATGAGAAAGTTCTTACCTCAAAAATCATCCTCTGCAGTCCAAAGCAGAAAGTCGAACCAAACGGGTTTGTGTTGTTGGCTGATGAAGACCTGTTGAAAAAAACAAGCAAAAACAATTAACTGATGGAAAATATTATAGATCTGTAATTGATGAAATTTTAACGTCAACACAGTAGCAAAAAAGCATCATCACTTGACCTTTTACCCATTAAAAATATTCATCTGCACCGTACTCACTACGTACTGAAATCACAGATTCAAGTTGTTTACCTGTGAAGGACGACTGGTTTTTCCATAGGATGACCCAGCAGTTCCTGAATCTGATCCCACTGCCAGAGAAACGAAAGCAGAGAGCTCATTGGAACTATCTTTTGAAGCTTATACCAGCGCTTGGAAACTAAAATTTTCTATCCCACTATTATGCATGTAATTCAATAATTGATCTAGATGTGTAGATAACATTTTTTATACATTAAAAGTCCTATAAGATCTTAAAATACTTTCAAATTTAAACTTAAAACACTATTGATAAGGCAACTTAGCATTGTAACGCCAACATTGTTTTCATCTGGCCAGGCGTCACAGAGTTTTCAAATCTACATGTTCATGAAATCTTGTCTTAAAGCCATCTCTGCAGGAGGCCAGTGTCATGAGGCACTGGTGTTAAAATACACATGTTATGTGTTGGTATGTGATTTTATGGTGCCAAACCTTTGCAAATGACAATTCACCCTTGGCTAAGGCCCGCCCCCCATGGTTACTGTTGCTATGCCTGGCAAGCTTTGATTGCCACTTTATATTTTCTTGGATTTCACCGTGATTTCAGTGAAAGACATTTCGAAGGAAATCGTTTCAAATTTTTGGAGTAATGTCTTGGAAATATCGGAGAGGAACAGTCAGAAAGAACTGCAAAATGCATGTGAAAAATATATTCAAAACATCATTTGCCCACAGAGTAATGTTGAGGAAGACAACATAAAAATCAAACCAACGGCTCACTGTTCATACTGCAAAACTCAGCAACCTCACATCTTGATAATTCAAGTACAGAAAAAATATATAAGGGAACAACAATATTGTTCCATTGCGGGGTAAGACACATGTTATTTTATTATAATCCAACTTTCTGGTTTAAGCCAGAAAGCATATATAAAGTTTTACTGGTTGTTATGCTAGACGGCTTCTTAGTGTTTTATTTTTGTTCGCACATTGTGGGTTTGTTCAATATGCTGGGTCTAATCAGAGAACAAGAAAGCCTAGTGAAAGTCTGTGCAAGTTTGCCACAACAGTGGCAAAAACAAAGAGAAGCCAAAATAAATGCGGTGCCAATATCAACGGTGTTTGTCGCAAAGGCAAAAAAAGACTGCAAATAGGGACCCGTTGACTGCCGCTACACAGGGAGCAGGTAAATGTAATATAGTGTACTTTTTCTAGATGTTAATTTGCATACTTGCTTTTAAATACCCACATTCTCAGAAAATAAATAGTTTTTATATATCATAAAAATATAAAGCTGACTAATAGCTTCTCCATTATTAAACTTGTACATTAATTTTTTAGGTTTGTGACACAATATTGGACCATGCAAAACACAAATTTATCTTCACAAAGCTTCAGAATGGCAAGATTTATGTACAAAAAGTAAACCAACAAATTAAATTTTTTGTTGTTGGCATTCATATAAATATGTTGGTGTGATAACTTAGAGTACATTTGAATTGTTTTTGGTAAACGTCCATTTTAAATGTATAGCCCCCCCTGGAGAAAACTCCACCACCCACCAATGATGTCAGTGCTTTGGAAATATTTACAAACCAATGAATTGGATTATAAATCAACCACATCCCGGATATAACAGGATTCTCAATCTACTTCAGATGCAACTAAAGGACTATAAAATGTCTGTTGCAGGTAAAATTATGTAAAAATCATTTGAGGTCTGCGGAAAGGAATTTCATTAAAAAATCCAACTAAATTTGCATTTCATTTTTTCGCCCCAGATTTACAGACATGTTTCGATGCAATTTATTAAATTGAGTCTTTATATTTCTGAGAAAGAGGGAACATCTAACATTTTGACTGACCTTACTGTAGGTTGTTAAGATGCATTCCTCTGTCTGAGAATCAGCTCCTTCTGAAGAATCAGAGAACAGTTCAAGGGAAGATCCCATCAAAGCACAAATGATGAGATTAGCACTAACCTGAAAAGTGACCGCTCACCTTTTTTAATGACGAGTGGGATCTTAAAGTCACATCGATGGTATCTGTGACAGAGATCAAATTAGGTTTGAAAACAGTGAAGAGACGTACCGGTAGATGTAAGGCAGGTCAGACAGCAGGAAAATATTTACATGTTAAAGTTGTAATGGCCAGGGTAGTTGGTATGAAGAACAAACTTCTTAACCAGGTGAGTCGTCGAGTCAAAAAGGATGTCCTAGAAAATAACACACGCCATCCATTAGCTGTAGCACTGTTTACTGCTGAGTGCCCACCCCCCCCTTAGCTACCCTACGGGTAAATACAGGGAAATGCAGCCCTGCAGCCTCACACGGGACCTTGTTATGCTTCTTTTTTTAGCCCATCTCAACAGTTGCCCCAGATGAGTTCAGGTTGTTTGCTTTCCCAGAGCAGACAAACCAAACCGCTCCAGGGAATTCAGGAGCTGACCCCTGAAGATCACTGAATAAACATCTTTGTTTACAACAAAATAACAGAGGGGCGCACCACTGACTTCTGCTGGACACAGGCGGTCTAAAAAACACCAATTTGTGATATTTTATGAAAATACGTTGTTGATGACGTTTTGTGAAAATAATGTCTGGTGCTGATTAAACTTTATTTAAGCCAATTACTTGTCCCATATCAGAATTAAAAGAACTAAAGGGAAGGTTGCCCCACAAAGTTCTAACATTCAAAATACTAAAAGCGTGAAATGTTTGGAGGCACATTAGCAAAACCTTACAAGGTTATAAAGACACACAGAGGCCCAGGTCAAGCAGACGTACCACTCCCAGGGTGAAGTAGTTGAAGAAGTAGTCGTTACATTTAGAGGGAACCTGCTTGTGAGGGGATGGAGAATGAATCTTCATCTAAAAAACACACACGAAAAAGGTAAGATTGTTTTTGTTTTATATTCTTTAATTAAAACAAAGAAAGTGTAACAGATTAAGACTTAAAAAGATGGACAGAGAATGGAAAAAACAACTGATTATGACTAAACACCAAAGGAGAAACAGCTCTCACCTTGTCCTCAGATTTGTAGAAGATTTTATGTGGTGAGCCCAGAGCTCCGAGAACATCCTGACAGGAGTCTCCAAAGAATATGCTCCTCTCCAGATACCGGACTTTAGAATCAGCCATCACGCTGAGCCCAGAACCTGCAGCAACAACAGGACATAAGTTCACCCTCACACAAGTAAGTAACCAGCCAGTTCTAATATTGGTTTGCCGAAGTATTAATAGTTTTTTTTATCCAAGTTGTTGGAAATCCATGTTCAGTTTGACCCAGTGACTTTGTAGCTGTATTTCTAGAAACTGCAGTGGTGGTGTTTCATCTTTCTTCAGGTTTGTTACTAAGCGCTAAATCTTTGTTAAATGTTTAAATGTATAAATAGACTTAAATGAAACCACATATATATCAGAGATGTACTGATCTTTTCTATACATTGCCAGGGGCTGACATGGGATTACATTGCTAGCTACGGTTATATATTAGAAAAATATGAAATAATAGCTAAATGATTTTAGCAGACATTGATGGGGCAAATAATTACTAATTTTATTGTACAGTTATAGGATTTTTAAACTGGGAGGCATTAAAGACAGCGTTATCTGAGACTTTACTATTTCCAACCAACAGTTAGCTAAAAACTGAAACAGAGCAGCAGCCGTCACCCGCAGGGAAACATTTAAAAAACTCCACCTACAGTTTATTTTTTGGTCTCTCTTGACAAACCAGACCAGAGATGGATTACCTGCTGTGAGAAGGCGGAGTTTGAGCCCCAGAGGACCCGCCCCATCTCTTAGGACGTCCACACACTCTGCAAAGATGTTGCCCATGAAACAAGCCAGTGGCATCGCAGGAGCTCTGAGGACACACAGGAAACATTCCAGCTGTGGTGATTTATTCTACTGCTGGCTGTTTGCTCCTAATTTGATTTGAAAATCTATAAACACATTATTGTTTAGATTAACATCCTTCAACAGGAAGGACTCATTGGGAAACGTGGAAGAGTTGTGGTTTACATACTTTGTTTCTTGCAGGTTGTTGCCGGTGTAGATGTGCATCCTTTTGACCATGGCTCCATGTGGAATCTGCAGGGAATGATGAAACCACAACAAAGTTAATGAGGACAAAACAGCAAGGGGCGAATTACATGATCTGAAAGAATAATTCAAAGCGACTTAACAAAACACTGCCTTCACATATTTGTGCAGAACACCATTTTATAAGTTATTGTGATATTACATCATTCATACAAAAAAATGAGGTGACATGAACTGGCAGCAACACCTTATATGTGGGACTTTACCAAATGAAATGACGACAAATTTCTTTTTAAACCCTGGTTAGCTCCCATATTTGAACAATTGCTAATTTACATAAGGAATCCTGACCTTTAAAATCAATTTTGCAATTTAACAAGCTTCATATCCTAATAATGTGACACCAGTCAATAATGTGTCTTTAGCAGATTATTAGCAAAATGCTTAAAAAAAAAAAAAAAAATCTAAAATAAAAAAAGGCATTTTGAATGTTCTCTCCTTTATTTTATTACTACCCTACAAGCCTTTTTTCACATGACAATTTAAATGTCATGATGAAATCTCCTGTAAAGAAGTCAGTAAACCCGAAACATTAAACTAACATGTCCACAAAGCTTCAGCCTTAAAGGTATAGTGGAGGATGTTCCTTCATAGGGTGGATCAACAAAATAAGTGGTCCTCCTAATTGTCAGTCATTCCTATGACATTTACCTAATGACGTAATTACGTAATGACTGGTTACGTTTAGAAATACCTGCCTGTGAGAATTACCTCCCCTCTCGCACACTGATCAGAAAACGGACGTTTTCGTAATTCTTATGCAAGGGATGACCTAAAATTTCGAGTTTTGGTAGACAAATAAATTAGAATGAATCCGATTTTTATTTGTATGGAGAAACATTTTAGACAATGTGCTACAGTCAGTGTCCGATATTCTCTCTCATCAGTGGATGGCACATTTCGCTTTTGCTATCAAAACCATTCTATATCATTTCTGACAAAACATTAAGAATATGTTTAGAAGTTCCCTTTTCGTTCATATTTCAATCCGTTTTAGGGCGATGCACGCTCACCTGAAATTCTTGGCAGGCAGGTATTCCTTGGCATTTATCCATCTACCAAAACATAATTTTTTTTTTTTGAAGTGGAGAAGGCGGATCCTCCACTATACCTTTAAGATGCATATATTATCCCCGTAGCATAAGCGCAAAGACAAAAAAAGAGAAAATTCTAATCTTTAAGCACATTTATCCAGTGGAGTTACAACATAAAAACAAAATCTCCAATTATTGATAGTTTAACAGAGAAACTCCAGAGGACAGAGCAAAACATTAGGGTGGTGGCAGAGAGGGCTTCCAGCCTAAGACTTAAAGAGCTAATCGCTGATCATTAATCATAAGAAATCCCAGCTGTAACATCTGTTATTAATATAAGACCAGCTTGATGGCTATGTTGCCAATACATCATTGCAAAGGGTATAAATCAGATTAAATAACTTTTTTTTTAAAATGGTGATTCTTTTCATTAACAGCAATTATCTTCAACAGTTGGGATGAACCTAACACAGGAACTGCTCTCTGGCTTTATGCCATTAGATTAGCAGTTTTCTCCCTCTTCCTGGGATAGGTGGAAGGAATTCCCGAACTCATGAACAGGCTGGGAAGGGAGCAGGTCCAGTTATACATACCTCATATTTTGGAGCTTCATTCCACGAGTCCAGTTGAAAGGAGAAGGAAAGTCCTCGAAAGTTGAGATGGAACAACTGCTCTGCAGGATTATAAACTGCACAGGGATAACGCAACGTAAATTAAACTGATCTAAATTGTGTCAATTTGTACATAAAAAGTTTGTTAAGAAGTACCTCCAGGGTGTGTAGCCCCAAAAGACTGGTCTATTTGCTCTATTGTGGGGGCGATTGCCTGAGAGTTGAAGTGGACTCCACTAAAAGGCAACACATGTCAGGTCAGTCAACATTCGTATAGCTTCATTAGAAAAACAACTACTGAGAGCAGCTGGAAATGGTTCTAAAGAAAGACAGACAATAATAAAAAGCTCATCTAAGAGACCCATTAAGCACAGCAGATTCAATTACTATGATATAACCAAGCAGCTGTGGCTCTCAGTGCTGCGACATAGAGATGAAACTTATCTTTTGGTTTTATAGATAAGACCTATAACAAAGCAATGAGAACTACATGGATATAGATCTAAGATCCTATAAAAATCTTCTACTCACCAGTACTTCAATTTGACTTTGCTCAGGTCGTACACTTCAATCACCTAACAGATAAAAGCATGAATAAAGATGTTGGACATGATAAGGTTCAATGCCACAATGGAAGTTAGATAATCTTAGCCATTCTCACCTTGAGTCTCTGATTGGTGGCATCAAACAGCAGTTTAATCCCATCCTGAGTCAGGTTCAGTATGAGGTCATGGCTGAGTGGTGTCTGTGGAGAAATAAAGTCAAGAACTGGAGCTAAAACAGGGAATTTTGAAATTTAAGATAATAAGTTTGTTTAAAAAAAAAGTAAGAACAACTTCAAATATTTTTAAAATTTCGATTGCTTTATTAAACCCAAGGACAGACAGTCCTACACTACTAACCTACATTTGCATTAATTGGATTCACAATATTATAATCTCCATATTTAATATCTGGCCTTTATTCTCCTTTTGTTGTCATTGCTTCTATCCAATTGATCTTAAAGTATGAGATACTCCTTTTTGAATCTCTTTTCATCAAACATCACCCCAAAAACATAAAAACTACCTAAGTAAAAATAATGCAAATCCACACACAGTTAATGATTTTTTTTTAACTGTTTGGAGTAGATGTGATAGCCTGGAGTTTTTGTTATGGTAAGACTTTTCTTTTCAACAACACAGCCTAATTTTGTGTTGTACTTGAGTGTTTAGTTATTAAATGTTGAGTACAACAATTAGAAGTTAGAAAAACATTCCATAAGGGCATCATTGTCTTCATGATGGATAAGGGGTTATAAAAAAATATTTTCTTACATAAACTTAAGACTTTCTGTGCTACTAAACCAGAAATAAACCTGATGCCAACTGCCAACTGTGGTTTAATGAGCAATGAATTCCAACCAGCGGGCGTTAGAGAAAGAAGTACCAATGTTATGAGAGTCATTTCCTTTGGAGACTAAAGGTGATGCATATGAGTTGCTGGCCAAACTAGAGCTGCAATATCATTGTACGTCATAAGCAGAGCACCAAGAATTACTCTGGATTGGTTAATTATTCAATTACCATAAATTCTTCCTCTCTCCCTAAAAAAAATATATATATAGAAGCTTAAGAAGTCATGATCAACAAAATTCACACCTTACATATTTTTCTAATACATCCCTAGAGCTATAAAATACAATAAATCACACTCAATGTGATACTAATACTAAAATACTAATATTGGAATTCACTGAAATTTTCAAAAGCAAAATCAAATAAAATGTGAGATCCTACTATTTTATAAATATTGATCTTAATATTTTAATACTTCAAGCTTCTGTTTGCAACCAGATCACCTAGAATCACAGACTCAGATCTCATCATCAGACTTGTCTAATGTCAAAGTAATTTAGAAGTTTAAATCTTTCTGTAATTGTGGTTATCCATGCATAGATGATAATCTATTTCCTCCAAAGATGACCGTCAACACACCTATTTGTGTGTGAATTAACTAGTTAGAGTTGTATCATCGTGAATAATCATCAGTCAGTAAGACAGAGAGCTACTTTCACCAATTTCTCTGTTGTGAAAGTAGACTGCCTCTCACTGAGCTAAAGTTGCTAAACAAAAAGAAGTGAAACAGGCATTAAATGATCATCCAAATATCCTCGATGGGTGCCTGCCACGACAGTAAATAACTGCACTACGACTTTCTATAACAACAATGTGCCATGTACCCTTCTTCATCAATATAAAGAAAGGGAACAGTTTGTTCAAATTGTGGACCATCTGTTTTCTTAATAAAATCTGACTAAAATAAATCTTACAAAACTTGAGAAACTCTACAAAACTTGTAGTGCTGCCAAAACAAGGATTTTTGTGCAAGCTGATTAACATTTTTCGAATTGCATAATCAGTAGAGGCCACAGGAACAGATATGCAAACATTTTACCTGTTCGCTGTATAGCACCTGGACATTTTTGATTATACGGCAGTGTTTCTGGAGGATAGAGATGGCCTGGGAAAATGGCATCCCTGGGAAAATAAAGAGATGCACGCACACACTGTATGAAAGCATTATATAGGCTCATCATTACACAAACAATCATATACAGCAAGCTTTATTTCAGGTAACTTTGTTTATCACAGCTTAGAGATAATAAAAGCTTTGAATTCACTCTCAGTAATTTACAAAAACACCAGAAAAATTTGATATTTTATTCACGAAGGTGAAAAAAACAAAAAGTATGAAAAAATCAGGTATTTGATGCCAACTTTGAAGCAGCATTTAAGATTAACTTAAAAAGTAAAGAACAAAAAGAACTACTTCCCAATCCAGTCTTTATTTTTTCTTAAACCTCAAGAAGATGCTCCTGATAGTTCAGCAGTGACTTCACACAAGCAAGAAAACAGATGCAGTGTCCATATAGTGCCTCCAAAAGCATCAATTCTACTTGAAAACACCTTGTCAATCTCACTCAAAGTGTTTCACTCTGAAGGCTTCACTTATCACTGTTGTTTTAAACCACAGCTTTTCCTTCCAATCCATTTTTTACTAATATTCTTGAACCAAGCATTTCCGAATAGGTCTTTTCATTGTTTTTTCATCGCTTTGTAGGAATATGATAGTCTGCCAGGTGGCACAAGTCCAGAGTCTAACTCATTGTATACATTTTTGTTTTAAAAATCTTTTCTATTTCTCTTCAGGAACTGTTTAAATTTCAGAGAAACATGATTTATTGCTAACTGGAAACTAGAGCTGGGCGATATGGCGATATATATCGTGAGGACGAGAGAAACATGTCTATCGTGACCTTTCTCCTCTATTTTTTCTATTGTGATAAACTTTTTTATTTTATCTAGCCAAGATTCTATACTGTTCACTGTCATGGCCGCAAATTGCATAACTGGTGTTCTTGGTTTGAGGTTGGGATTCTCATATTAGGAAACAAGATGATGGGTAAAAAATAGGCAATGAATGATTTTTTTCAACCCTGTCCATCTGACAGACTATGAAAACATAAAATGCAACATCAGTTGTGGCATATCGTGATATATATCGTTATCGTGATATAAAATAATCCATATCGTGATATAGTTTTTTTTCCATATCGCCCAGCCCTACTGGAAACCATAATCATCTAGATGAACAGAAATACAATCCTCATCACTGGGTGCAAATTACGAAGTTCCACATTTGGTGTTAAAATTGTGAAATAATGACACTTCTAAATGTTATTCTGATTTCTTAAACATATTCTTGTGAACATTTTTAAAGAGCAGTGCTTGCTACTCACCTAAGGCGAATTCCCATTGTTCATTTCCTAGTGATCTCTCAGGCACCACCTCCAGATCCAGCATTGGCAAGTAGTGGGGGGCCGCTGACCTCACCTCAAGACACTGTGGGACCCTGCCTCTGTTTCTACTGGCTCTACCTAAATTACAATTTCAGCTTTTTTTGTTTGTTTTGTTTAAATCATAACGTGCAACTTCTCTCTTTTTTTTAAGCTGCAAAAACCATGAGCATCAAAATAGGTATTTCCTTATCTCATTATATACGTCCTGGATCAGACAAAAAGAAGAGGTATAAAAAGTGTTTTGAAAACTTTGCTGTTTTTGTTTTGAATCTTCAAAACAACCAACACGGGCTGACAGCTTACTGAAAACAAATGACGCAACCTGCCAGCAAACCTAAAACACACTATCAGTTAACCGACTTGTTTATGATCTCTAAAAATCAATAAAAACAACCTGACCTACGCTGCAAAACCGTGGTAAGTTCAACTTGTTCAGGAACGATACACAACAATGTTTGCTGTTACAATTAACACATATGAATACTGATAATTATTCCCTTACAAAGGTGCCGTTATGTTTCCTTTCTGTGAATGTCGGACAGTTACGAAAGAAACAAAAAAACTAAAAATGTCTTAATCTGAGCAACAAGCTAAGGTTAGCCAACCAATTAGCTAACTCAACAGTGTGCTTGTTATCGTTTATAGCGTTAAATATAAATAACCTAAATATAGGAGAAAACACTTAAGTAACGCGATAGGAAGTTATTATTCTGCCTAGGACTGAAACAAAGAGACGCCGAAGGCTATCGCTGCTGTTTTTCTCTCTTCGACTCAGAAGCTAGCTCCGCTGCTGCCGCGCGCGTTCAGAAAGCCACCGATATAAAGCTTCCCTTTGCCCGGTAAAAACCCCGCTGCCGTATCTGTTTCTCGGTCCTCGTCCGTTAATGTCAAAAGGGACGAGAGATGCAGCGTCCGCACTAACAACAGCAACTTCAGACATCAACAACAGCCAGCGGGATCAGCTGATAGCTTAACTTCCTGGGAGAACGTGATGACGTTACGCGTACTTTTCTCGGCAGTGACCGGTCACTCAACGGTCCTGGTCACTGTGAACACGTAGTTTGATTGAACCATTAAACCATTCTATAATATATTATATAAATATTTAGTTATTAGCCTCTTTTTAAAATGACAGAATCCTGAGTTTTACTGATGGCAAAAAGTGAGAAAAAAAGTATTTATAGCGGAGGTCTTCAACAGGGGGTCCGCGACCCCTAGCAGGTCCACGGAGGTACTGCATGGGGGTCTCGAAAGATTTGGTTGACTAGACTTTTTCTTTATATTCCCCCCTGCAGTTTTTTCCCATAATTGAAATGTCTTTAATTACACATTAACATGAATTCAGGACACTGTAGTGTGTTCAGTCATCAATGCACACGTTCGGTGACACACAGGAGCTCTTTCACAAAACCTGTCCCATCAGCAAGGAATCAGAATCAGAAATACTTTAATAATCCCAGGTTGAAATTACCTTCGTTACATTACTCCATATGTAATAGAGTCACTATAGGACCAGTTTGATATCACAAAATTTCATACAATATATATAATTATGGGGTCCCCGCTCCATCTCGCCATCAGTTTGGGAGTCCTTGGCCTGGAACATTGAAGACCCCTGATTTATAGGATAAATAGCTGGAAAACATTTGATGAAAAACTGTGAGAAAACAATTTGTTTATGCTTTTTTAAATGTGCCAGCCATTAATTAAATAAACATTCAAATAATTAAATTTGAAATTATTTAATAATTTGCATTCATATTGAAAATGTATACATGATTATTGCTGTGATTATTTAACTATTTTAGGGTTTATATCTGAGGGCTAAATATATTAAACAGATTAATAAATTTTTACATTCATTTTCTTGGTTGAAATGTTCTCCTATGATTTGTTAATATAATAATCAAAAAGGAAGTCTAAACAAACAAACAAACAATTATTTGAAAGTTCTCCAAACTATGTTTTACTAGAATTAATGTATTTCATTTACAATTTAAAAAAATCAGAGTCATCACATGTAAAAATCAATATTTATCAATAATATTTATACAGTCTTTAATCCCAGGTAGATTCCTTTCTGCAGTTTGTCCATTAGCAGTAGGGGTGTCTCAATACAACTTTTAATTTCTGATATCATATTGATATTACAGCTTTAAGTATTGACAGATTCCGATATTGACCTGATACAATATCAGCATGAATCACATATACTTTTATTGCTCATTTTGTAGTGCAAAAGTTAGAAACGTTATTATGAAGTGATTTTACTCAAACAGAGAACAAAATGTCAACAACAATAGGTATGAGAGCCTCTGACCAGTTTAATATTAACCAATCAGTGGCAGACACCTAAACATAAAAGCTTTCTACTATTAAAAGCAACCTCTTTTTCTGACTTTAACAGAAAGTACAGACACTGCCAGTATATATTACACCAGCATAGTGTTTGCTCTTATGTTAGCAAAGTGATTCTATAACAGCGCTTGAATTGGAGATTTCAGATGTAGATCCATATAATCTGTTACTAGTGTTTTGGCTGATATAGGACAGTTTTCTGATATCAATATCAGATCAGGACATCCCTATCAAGAGGCCATGCAAGGGTTCTCTCTGCTTACTCCATCTACTTCTACAGTGCAATAACAAGCATGTTAATTGGATAATCTAAATTGCTATTATTGGTTAAAGTGAGCATAACCGTTTGTTATTGCTGCCTAAAGTGCTATTGTACTGTCTAGCTGCACATATTAATGTAATGTAATGCATATATATATATATATCACCCTTTACAATTGGTAAGGATCATCTTTACCAGACCACATGAAAAAGCAATAACTCTTAGTAATTGTTTTCTGTTTGACTTATGATGCCTTCTATTTAGGCTCACATGGCTAATTTTGTTTCTGCATGGAAGTGCAATTAGAATACTTCTTACTGTCTTAATTTAGAAATCTGATATTGATTGCCCCCCTGGGCCTTGGGTTTTTGGGCCCACAAATGGATCTGACTTGGTGTTGCCTTCCCTGTGTCTAGGGCTCTGCTCTCCTCTGTGTCAGTCCTGGGCTCTATGGGGTGGGTCTGGGGCCCTTCACACCTGCTATTGAGCATATATTTCTGCTGAAGGAGTCTTATAAACCTTATATAAATACGCACACTTATGGGTATACACCTCAGGTGTTTGGATCTAGTTGTTCATGGATACAAATATCAAGAAATGGTGTTATACCTTCTATACTTTAATTTAGATAGCTCCTGTCCAAACTTTATTTATTAATTTTATAGTCAAATCCATCTGTATATATGCTATTGTACATAACTGTAAAAACCCTTTTTAATTAATATGCACCTGTATATTATATTCGGTATATATGCAACTGTAAATTTAGTTCATAACACTAGTTATCTATATATTATATTCATCTATTAGTAATATTCTGCTTATAATGGTATTCATCTCTATACTTATTCAGTAGAAGCCCATCTCCTGTATTTATAGAACCATTATTTATCCTGCACTTGCTGCTATTGCACTTCTGGTTAGACCTAAACTGCATTTCGTTCCCTTATACCTGTACCTGTGTAATGACAATAAAGTTAAATCTAATCTAATCTAATCTATAAATCTCCTGCAGTAATAGCGTGTTTTTGTTATGCTAACTCCCACCTGTACAGTTCAGAGCCAGAAAACCACCAAATACTCCTGAATTAGAAAGGTAACCACAGTTATAATAAGCATTTTATTTCGGTTTGCTCTGTTTTATCCAGGACAGGATCACACAGGCAGCAGTTTCAGGGGTGCCTCACAGACTTCCCTGTCCGTCCACACCTCCAGTTCTGCTGGGGGAAGCCCGAGGGGCTCCCAGGCCAGCTTAGAGATATAGTCCCCCTCATTGTGAACTGGGTTTCCCCCTGGGTATTTGTGATTAGTATTCACTTTTCGTTTCTTTATGGCTTTCCTTGGAGCAATAATCTAATACCACTATTATTCTGCAGAGGTTTAAAAGAAAACATAATAGGCAGATAGAGGAATTGATACATATTTATTGTGATAAACAATCAACAATTTGAAATGAATATCTCATATTATATGTTAAACTCCTCTGAGAGGACAAGTTCAACATTAAAGTAGATGGAAACACTGAGCACACAAACAGTAAGAGAAATGCAAGAACGTTTACACAAGCTACAAAAAATCAGTCTTTCTAAAATATAAATAAGTTAAAAAAGTAACAGGTAATGTAGAAAAGGAAAAAAAAAAACATGTTTTTTTAATGGTGTGACTTAATGCCTGCATTAAGGAAAGTAAAGGATGGATTTCATGCTTTATATGTATTTTGGTGCTTATATGTATTTCTATAGTTGTGTGGTGTAACAAAGATGTTTTTTTTGTTGTTTTCCCTAATGTTAAAACTAATTTGGTTTTTCTTTTGAGGTATTTTTTTCCCCCAATTTTTTTCATTCAGCATTAAATTTAGAGTGAAAAAAATCTTATTATTCAGTTTTTTTCTCCCCAAAGTACTCAAGCTTGTTGTCCAACTAAAAATGAAAAAGACAAAACTTCAAATGGACCAAATCGTTTTAGAAAACCTTCCTTCTTCAGAACCTTTTTTCTCCTAATTTTATTCAGTAACTTATCTTGTGTTTTGTAAAACAATATCATTTATTCTATGAATATGTGTCTGGGAACCTCAACAATCAGCGTTATAGTTTAATTAAGTCTGTATCGGCTCTCCTGGTGTTTTTCACACATTAAATTCACAGAGTGCAGTCTGAACTGACTCCTTTCTTTACTTTAAACCTAAAAACATCAAAAACCACCACATAACCGCCCCTCATCCTCCTGCAGGTTCCCACAGGAAAGTAAATTTTTTTTTTTAAAGATTTTCGATGAATTTTATACTGAACCAGCTGACTTAAAAAAGTTTCCTCTGTGATATAAACAACTCCTGATTGCCAGAAAGAAATAACATATTTGAGCCTATAAGGTTTACCAGTTTTAAAGCTATAGTAAATATTGTTACATCAGATAAAGTTCTTTTGATGTTGTAAGCCCTGAGTTGATTTTATGGCTGCATTAGCAGAGAAAACCTGAAGAAACTTTGTTGAAAATACAAGCTAGCTCCAACTCACTCCTTTTGTTTAATGTCTTTTGAAGCTAATTAAATGCTCAAAATACAGTTAATAAACTGCTCAAACACAATTATGAGTCTGTATTTACTAAGAAGGTCAAAGGTAATCAAACAGTTAATTTCAGAAAGTGTAAAACATTTTCCGATTACAGGACTTTAAAAAAAAAAATACAATAATACAAAAAGAAAAAATAATAATAAGAGTACATAGAAAGTGAAGAAAGTCTTCAAATCTCTCATTTTTCGGGAGATTTTTTGTTTTGTTTTTGTGATTTACACAATAATTCTGCAGCTGCTGTAGGTTTAAGCTGAGAGAAATACTAAAAACTCCTACTGAGACGAAAAATATAAAAAGTAAACATCATGACTTTCACACAACAAAAGGCTGATGACAACATAAAGGCAAACAAATGGGTTCAAAACATGAGAGTGCTGTAACAGGACAAGGATGGAGGCTTTTATGGCCCTTAAAGGACGAGGAACATCTGGGTGACGTGGGATTAAGCAAGTTAAATGGACGTTGGCATATAGGGCACAGTGTTGTAAGTTAAAAATATTCATTCTGATTCAGTTGTTTACTTGAGATTACATCCTGATTTCTTAAGGAACAAACTGGGATTAATGTTAAGTGAACTGGGATAAATTGAATTTCAGGTATGTAGTGATTTATTTTTAGTTTTTACACAACTTCTCCTGCATACAAATAATGGATGAAGGAGCTTATCGGGATTACTCAATATTTCAATTTGCAAAGATCATCACTTTTTTAAAGAATTTTTTATGTTGTAATGAGTTTGGTACATTGGGTTCAAATAATTTAAGTTAAAATGTTGTCTTTCACTGTTTAAACATCATTGCCTTCACCTGTGAAAACAGTGCACTGTGATCACTTTTAAATTAAAAAGATTTATTCATTTTTTAAATCTCTCTTCATCTAATCTGTTTTATTGTGGAAGTTGTGTTTTAGGTAGGAGATGTGATGAGAAGATGAGAGCAAATAATATATGAGCAGCAGCTTTGAAGATCTTTTTTTAATGGGGGAACAAATATGTGTCAAATGACGGCATCCTTAGTTTGTGAACTAAACGATTAATACGCCTTAGAATTGGAAACAAAAAAAGCATCAATTATGTATTAGAAAGTAAAGTTCTTGAATATTTCTATTGAAAAAAGTGGTTTTAAGGTTTTATTTTTAAAAAGCATAATTAATCTAATGATTAATGATTTCATGGCTGCATGCTTTAACACATTTTACTTTTTATTTTACCTATCAGTGAGATGGACAATGTTGTAAAAAACAGGTTGTTGGTCTGAGGTTGACACGCTGTGCAAATTATCAAATCAGAAGAGAGGGTCTCTATGATGAAGCACAATGACTGTTTAAAATATTTTATGATGCATTATAGCTGCTTCCCGTGTTTAAGTAAAGTTGTAACTTCAACTGCTGTAAAACAATGCAGTGGCGCATGCCAACAAGACCGGCTAATAAGTGCAAATTGATACAGGTATAAAACAGAAAAAGAAGCAATTTTCAGTTACCATTTCCAAAGCTATCATTTTGGATTTTGCTAAAAGCTGCAGTGAATCAGCTGCAAAGCTGAAAACAATGGATTTTTCAATGCTTACTGAAGGAAACCCGTAAAAAAAGACATTTTCTAATAGTATTTTACATGCAGTGTTAGCACCAGCTTTAGGGGTACTAACACAAAATTCAGGAATTTTAAAGATGAAGACTACCGTAATGCAAGTGGAGGAAAATAAATATGAAGTACCTGGTGTATAATTGTAAACAGTCAGATGAACTTTCTAAACAGTAAATACAACTAGGTGGAAGATTCTGGCTGAAAAAAAAGCAATTAAATCAACAACAGTCAACCAAAGTCTAACTGCTGTCTACTCACAGCTACTCCACATAAACCCCCACATTAACCTTTCCGCATTCATTTTGTATTGATGCCTGTAGACAAGGATGATAATTTACTGTAACTGTAAAGCAATCCTTTTGGAGATGAAAACATTTTAATGCAAATTTTAAATCTCTGAAAACCCAACTTAAAGTCACCCAGTTGTCCCTCATCACAGAGCAGATAAAGAGTGCTGACGATAAAGAGGCTGCAATAAGAAGCTAAGGAAGCCCCACATTTGATTTCATGCAGTAGAAGGACAAGCAATGTGGACATCAAGACTGATTGCATCATATAGTGCAAAACCTCTCGGAAGACAAAGGACATTTAAATTTTCCCATTTCACCACGTTTAGCACAGCTGAATGAAAACTGAAGGTAATTTAGGAGTTTTTATGAGTTTTTGCGGTCAGTTGACCTGTGATGTTCGGAAATAATCTCAATTAACACAAAGCAAACATTTCTTAACCCTCCAGCCTGGTAAATATTTCTTTGGTTTGCCTTTCTCTGATATTTTTATATCTAAAATACCCCCCCCCCCCCCCCCCCCCCCCCCCCCCCCCCCAGCAGGTTCTAAGAAACAGCAGGTTCTAAGAAATAAAGTTGATAAAATGGCATGTCAGCAAAAAATATGTGTGTGTGTATATATATATATATATATATATATATATATATATATATATATATATATATATATATATATATATATATATACACATACACACATGAACTGTTAAAGCTTCATGATGTGTAAAAAAGCCCTGACCGTGACCCTGAGCCACAACATTTTGTCTCTTTCCTCTGCTCCTTCTATTTTTCCCTCCTGCTCCCTCTGTCTTGTAATCAGTGTTTTGCATTGATCTTAAACCTTTCTCATTAAATTGTATTTTTTCATACCTAGGTTTCATATTAATCCACAATTTATCTTTTATATGACATTTTCACTTTTCACTTTGTCTGCATTCTAAATTTAGAAAAATATATAAATCAAAAGATAAACTGTTTTGAGGAAAAATAAAAAAAATCAACCAGCCTTTTTCTGTCAAGCTGATTTTGTTGAAATTAAACAAACTCTGTTTCCTTCTTTTCCTCTTCCTTCTCCCCTCATCAGCGCATCTTGTGTTCCACGTCAGCGTTGGCCATGTTTGAGCCAGGGCTTGGGTCCTGCTGTCGTCTGGACTGGGGAGACACAGGGATGGAGTGATGAAACAAAGGGAGGAGGGTGAGGGTGGGGATTAAAAGAGAAGAAGGTGAAGGGATAAAGGAGGGTCCGAAAATAGGATCAAAGAAAAAAGAGAAGGCAAAAAAGGATTTAAGAGAAAAGATGCAAATTAAATTCAGCATTCCAAAACTGTCAAAACTTGACTTCTTTATAAAAATTGTAGAATTTTATTGAAACTATAAACTTGTATTTGTAGTATAAAAATGAAAGAATGGAATGTTTCTCTCAATTTTCTGACATTAAATAAGGATAAGCTTTTCCTGATTATGGTCGATTAAGATTCCTTTTTTAATTATTTTTGATACATTTCAGAAAGAATAGGAAGCACATTTAAGAAATTTTCTTTGAACTGTCCTAATATCAGAAGTTTAAAACTGTTCTATAGTATTTGAACAACATGACTTAGATGACATATTTTGGACCTTCTTCCTTTTTTTTTCTCCTGACAGATCTGCTTTTACAGGATTAAGATGTTTATCACTATAAATCACTGACTTTGTGGTTGGGAAATCGTTTGGATCTAATTTTCTGGCAGGCTGAATATCGTTGTCAATTTAAAGGTCAGTTTGTGTCCAATGTTCAACTTTCTTATTTATTGAAATGTTGCAGTAGTATTTCCAAATAAACGTTATTTTGTCATGAAGCAATCTATTTTCAAAAGTATACCAATATGTTGGGGAGTAAGAAAATATATAAGTTTATGGTAATCAGACTTTTCCCTGCGTCCATTTGCAAATGGTAACCTTGAGTTTTACTGTATGTTTTTACATGCCAAATCCAGGAGAGTTTTTTATGTATATGCTTCTGCATCTGTGCCTTTATTATATATAGACAGAATAAGATTTTTTTTGACATATCTCCTTTACAATCTCCTATATATGATATTACTAAATAAGAGAAATAATTGGATCAGATTGCTGGATTATCATTCATCTGATATCTGATCCAGTTAATTAGTCAATATCAGAGCAGATGTTCGAGCAGATTATCGATGCATCTCTTTAAAAAGGTAGGAAAGTATTGAAGTATCAACATTTCTCAAACTTTGAAATCTTTTTCTCCTTATCTATTCACATTTTTAAAATTATACAATTAAATACATTTCTTTTGTTGCTATTTTCCAAACCCAATCCAACTTAATTTAGAAAGCTATTAAAACACATAGACCAAAATGCTATGCGGACAAAAACAAATTTAGATAAAAACAAATAGGCAAACATACAAATAACATGGACACAACATATGACCAACACATCACTAGTATATAAAGGTGGGTAGAAAAAAAAAAATCTGTATTTAAGAACAGATTTAAAATTGGCCAGGGATGAAGTGTACGGTGGCAAACATTCCAGAGTCGAGGAAAGGCTATAGAGGAGATCCAGTCCCCCTTTGACTTTATTTGGTTCTCGGCACTGACAAAAATAAAAGGTCAGCTGAGGGGAGAGTATGAGAAGGCACGTAGTGCAGTATAAGCTCAGAGATGCAAAGCAGGGCAGGCCCAATTAAAGACAAAAAAAAGATAAAAATAATCTGAAAATGGATTCTAAATTGGAATCCATTCCAAAAATATTTATAAAACCATAATTATCAGAAAAAAAAGAAAGAATGAAAACTTGCTAATTTAAAAGAATCTAAATGCTTCCTAAATCCAAAATAAAATGAGAACAAAACAGGTGTCAGTAGTCTTTGCAACCACTAGATGGAGCTAACCACCTTTAAAATGCATCTATTACTGCTGTTTTTAAACACACAGATGTTATTTTAGTCAAGGTATCAGGTAGACAGACAAATAAAGCTGCAGGCAGACAAACAGATACATAAACTGGCAGACATGCAGAATCTCTGATACACACACACACACACTCATAAAATTGATCGTTAGGTCATCAACAGAGGCCGTCAGCATGACAGGACTTTTAAAAATATTTCCTGACTCGGTGTGGTGGGATAGTGTTTAGGAGGCCCTGGTGTGACCCTCGGCTGCCGTAGCAAAAATACTTGTGGTTGTATGTTTACACTGAAGTGATAGCTGGGGGGATTTGGCATGGCTCGGGTGATAGAGGTGAGAAGGTGCAAGAGAAGGTGAAGCAGGGAGCAGACAGAAATGCAGACAGAGATAGTAGAGTCGTTGCTTAGCTCAAGAGGAATGCAGTTTGTGTCATCTCAGTGACTCACTGCAATAGCAATACATTTGCAGTCACACACACACACCCAAACACACACACACAGTATGTCATGCTTCCATTTTCAGTGCACGCAGCCAGACTGGCTCCTTGGTTGTTTAATTAAAACTGCTACTTTCAGAACTTCACATGTGACTCAGTTACAGTCACATGACCAAGATCAAAACCAAGTTGCAGCAAACAACTCCTAATTGTTCATCACAATGTCATGTTGATTTTTTTTTGCTGCAACAGAGTGAAAAACATTTGATTAAAAAAATGAGGTAGGAAGTGCAACACCTGAGATATTAGAAAATACTGGGGGTCATTCTTTGCCTCAAGCAAAGATGTCCTGATATATTTTGTTCATGTTCATTCACAACGGTTGATAGATCAAAATCTACAGAGAAAACAGTATTAATTTAAATGGCCAAATTATGTTGATGCTCTGAAGCTCCCTTAAGCAGCTGACTGGCAGGAAGCTTCAGAGAAAAGACAACATCATTATCCAGGGCAGGGGACTGCAGCCTGCAGGGGTGTCAAAAGTATTCATGTTTGTTAACTTAAACTTTTTACTCAAGCAAAAGGGAAGAGGTCCAATTTTTAAAATGATTAAACTATAAAAGTGAAAGTAATTCAGAAAAAAGTGTTGATGATGAAGAATGCTTTAAACCTCATACTGGTTACTGCACTACCCTATTAAAGGAACATTTTCTGGATAATAACATCCTTATACATAATTTTCTAAGTTTTATAACTAATGGTAACAGTGTCAAATTTAACTCTGGACCATCTCAAAAAACTATTTATTTTGGTTTTTGACAAACAAGTTGGTGCAGCCCCGAGTCCAACCACAAAGAAATCAATTGTCTGAATGAAACAAATTAATTTGATGTTTCTTTTTTTTTATACCAATACCAATGAAAACTAGCTTAAATTTAACAAAACTAGTCTATTTTGTAAATGTAAAGAGTAGAAAGTAAAGATAATTGTAAATGAATCTACAGCGTAGAAGAGAAAAGTTTTCTAAAAAATAATTACTCCAGTAAAGTATAGATGTACAACAATTTCTACTTAAATAAAGTAATGAAGTATTTGTACTTTGTTACTTGACATCTCTGGTAACCTATAACTTAAGGGTTGTTCTTTGGACCCTCTACATTGTCTCTTTATAGTGGCTAAAAATTATAAATATTAAACTGATGTATATAATATATGTGTATGATGTATATAATAAATGACAGGTGACAAAGTCTTAGAAGCTTTGATGTATTTTTTAAATAATATTTGAATTAAAATTTCAAAACAGAATGATATGAAAAGAGACAGAAATTTGTTTTGAACTTTATTTTTGTAGAGCTAAAACAAATGTTGACACTTTGTGCTCTTTTAAAAAGAATTCTCACACTAAAACCCTACAGAAAGAAACACTTCTTCCTCTTTATGAATGTTTTAATGTTTTCCCATATTTTAAAACTCCAAAATAAAAAAATAATACGGTGGTTGCTTAAAACGCCAACTGATTTCCTATAAGAGTTATCTAACAAAAAAAGTTGAATTTCCGTAATATTTGCATCTCTGAACAACTTTTATATAGCTGGACTCAGGGGAAAATTGCCATTTAAAAAAAAGATTAGAATGCTGGTCTAGGGAGAAACTGCTGCTCCCATGAATCCAAAAATGTCAGCTTTAGTGGTTAGGGCAACTGATCTGGATGCCTCCCAGGTGAAGCAGGGATGTGAGCAGCAAGGGAAGACATCTGCCCACTAGGAGCAGTAACGAGGTAGATAAGCAACTTTATTTTAATTTTATTTTACCACTATTTCACACAAAAATATTTTCAGGTGAGAAAGTAGACCTCAGAACTTTTTCTATGCAGTTAGTTCATTTTTAATTAGGAGCCTATCTTCAAAGGTGCTTCCAGAGTTTTTGAAACAGTAGAACTTTATTGACAGGCCGGTCCGGTTGCTCAGCTAAACGGGCAGTACCCGTGGACATCCTAAGTTACTGCAGCCTTAACTCTGTAACCTACTAGGGGTGTCCCGGCACCTGTTATTTATATGTAGTGGCAGAAAGTGAATAGATATGTGGTGCTATTTTGAAATGTAAAATTAATGTAGATTTTAATTATAAAGTGTTTTGTCACAGTTCACTAAGAAAAATCTTCTAATGAAATGGCCTACAACTGATCAAGCAGTTTATATTTTCCAAAGACTGGCCCGTAATTTAAACCTTACTGTCAGGGCTGTTTATTTTATTTTTCCATTTTACATGTTTTTATGTTGACAGCCCCACAGGAGGAGAGAGCTCCTGTTTGAATGTTGCTATTTTTGACTTAAATGTGTAAAGACTATTTATTATTTTTTTATTTTATAATAAAAGCAGTTTTGATCTGATCTGTGCTGATCTTAATCTATCTCTGCTGTAGATATATAACATGAGTTGGCCTAATATAATAACAGAATTTAGTTTGCTGATCAGTGTTTAGTTGTACATGGAACACGTAAAGTTGTAATGCCAAAAGTCTGCTTAGATACAGGTTGATAAAAAAAAATAATTATTTACATTTTATCGATCCAAAATGTAAATATATCTCACACTATCTCTCTGTGTTCATCTCCAGTCTCTTGTTTACACAGCCACACCAGGGTATATGTGCACGTGTGTACATGTACGTGCATGGGAATAGCTGCCTTTAAGGGCTCTGAGCATAGGAGCAAAATTGCAGACAGTTCATCCAGTGAACCAAAGTGTTCACCTGAAGAAAACCAGGCCTTATTATTACCACAGAAAAA